GAGGATGCGCTGCCTCCCGCCCCCAGCCCGAAGTGCCACCGTGGCCCCGCGATGCTCAGCTTTGCAGCGTGTAATCCGGACGCGGACGCGGAGAGACGCCCTGCCGGGAGTCGCCCGCCGCTCGCCAGTCCCAACCGCTAATCACCAGGCTCCTCGCGGGCTCAGGCACCTGCCCTGCCGAACAAGGGAGGGGGCCGGATGTGGGATGGCACAGGGAAACGCTAACAGAGCAGTCCGCGCCCCGGCGGACGAGAAGCTGGGTGGGCACGGCTGCACACTGGCCCCGAGGAAGCCCGCCCTGGGCCTGCCCTCCAGGAGCGCCCACACAGGGACGTAAAGTGTCTTAGCAACAGAATCCCGTCCTTCTTGCCATCATGCATGCAGCGGTTTGCCGCTCTCGGGAACTAAATCAGACGAGACAGGACCAAGGAGGGGTCCAGCCAACAGTTTGGGCTCCTCGGCTACTCCCACCCCTGCTCCCCGTGTCTGGTTCTCATAGCCTTGCTTTCCCAGCTTTGCTGTCGGGCTGTGGCTGCTCTGTGCGCTCACTGTGACTTTGGGCTAGAGTAGAAGTAAAAGGCTCAGGGAGGGTCCCTGTGCGCCTGGATAAAAATTATGGGCCCCAGAACCTGAAAGAAGGCGGGTGTTGGACGTCTAGGGGCGGGGACATGGGGCGGAGGAGCTTCTCCTTGAATCTTAGTCTGTGGGCTGCGGGCGGGCGACTCCCGACAGAAGCAGGGGTGGCTAGCGGGTCTGGCTGGCCGTGCATGCAACTCTTTTCGTTCCCCTGCCGGTTCTTTAGGATTGGAAATCACAGCTGTTACGAAAGGCACTAGGTGAGTTGCTGGGACCCCCGCCCCCCATCATCATCACCCCATCCTAAACATACTTGAGGCGTAGTTTTATACACCTCTGGGGCAAAGGTGCATCAAAGTTGAAGACGGTGCTGGTGCGTGTGCATGCGTGTGTGCATACGTGCGTGTGTGCATATATGCATGGGTGCACACGTGCATGGGTGCATACGTGCATGGGTGCTAGGGACCATATCCCGAGCTTTATCACTCCTCTCTTCACTTTATCCCCCAAGACCAGCTCATCAATTATCAATTGGCAGAGTCCCCAGGGAATAACCAGGCCTCATTGATGAGGCATTTGGTTGGCTCCAAGGTAGCAGAGGAAGGGGCAGTGTGAGAAACAAGCTTTTGTACGAGGAACCATGAGGCTGATCTTTCCGGACTGGCTTTATTTCTGACCTCCGGACCTGGCTTCCCTCTCCTGGCAGGGTGCCACCTACGCGCTGATGCCCCGAGTGCTCACAGGGCTTCCAGCTAACCATGCTGCACCTACCTTGGCGCTGCCCCTGCTACTACTATTACTGGTGGTGGTGTGGACCCCGCTCCCCGTTAGCGCGGGGCGGGGCACCGATTACCTGCGGCGAGGCTGGCTGCGGCTACTAGCCGAGGGCGAGGGCTGTGCTCCCTGCCGGCCAGAAGAGTGCGCTGCGCCGCGGGGCTGCCTAGCAGGTCGGGTGCGCGATGCGTGCGGCTGCTGCTGGGAATGCGCCAACCTGGAGGGCCAGCTCTGCGATCTGGACCCCAGCGCCAACTTCTACGGGCGCTGCGGCGAGCAGCTCGAGTGCCAGCTAGACTTGGGCGGTGACCTGAGCCGAGGAGAGGTGCCGGAGCCGCTGTGCGTCTGTCGCTCACAGAGCCCACTGTGTGGTTCCGACGGCCATACCTACGCGCAGATCTGCCGCCTGC